AGCCTTACCCTACTAGTTTTACACACAGGTGGGTACAGGAGCAGACGACTGCTGACTCCTGGTAGCTGGCTGAGAGCTTTCCCTTCCCATAGCTCATGGTAAGCCTTACCCTACTAGTTTTACACACAGGAGGGTACAGGAGCAGACGACTGCTGACTCCTGTTAGCTGGCTGAGAGCTTTCCCTTCCCATAGCTCATGGTAAGCCTTACCCTACTAGTTTTACACACAGGAGGGTACAGGAGCAGACGACTGCTGACTCCTGTTAGCTGGCTGAGAGCTTTCCCTTCCCATAGCTCATGGTAAGCCTTACCCTACTAGTTTTACACACAGGTGGGTACAGGAGCAGACGACTGCTGACTCCTGTTAGCTGACTGAGAGCTTTCCCTTCCCATAGCTCATGGTAAGCCTTACCCTACTAGTTTTACACACAGGAGGGTACAGGAGCAGACGACTGCTGACTCCTGTTAGCTGACTGAGAGCTTTCCCTTCCCATGGCTCATGGTAAGCCTTACCCTACTAGTTTTACACACAGGAGGGTACAGGAGCAGACGACTGCTGACTCCTGTTAGCTGGCTGAGAGCTTTCCCTTCCCATAGCTCATGGTAAGCCTTACCCTACTAGTTTTACACACAGGAGGGTACAGGAGCAGACGACTGCTGACTCCTGTTAGCTGGCTGAGAGCTTTCCCTTCCCATAGCTCATGGTAAGCCTTACCCTACTAGTTTTACACACAGGTGGGCACAGGAGCAGACGACTGCTGACTCCTGTTAGCAGGCTGAGAGCTTTCCCTTCCCATAGCTCATGGTAAGCCTTACCCTACTAGTTTTACACACAGGAGGGCACAGGGGCAGACGACTGCTGACTCCTGTTAGCAGGCTGAGAGCTTTCCCTTCCCATAGCTCATGGTAAGCCTTACCCTACTAGTTTTACACACAGGAGGGTACAGGAGCAGACGACTGCTGACTCCTGTTAGCAGGCTGAGAGCTTTCCCTTCCCATAGCTCATGGTAAGCCTTACCCTACTAGTTTTTCCCCTGGAACTCGACCCGCCAATCAGTTTACAACCCTCCCCACACACAAGACTGATGATCTCATGTGTATAGTGTGTTGTTCCATCTGTCACTAGGGCCGACCTCTGCCGCCTGACTACTGACTGTATCTCTCCCCCCTCTCTCTCTCTCTCTCTCTCTCTCTCTCTCTCTCTCTCTCTCTCTCTCTCTCTCTCTCTCTCTCTCTCTCTCTCTCTCTCCTCTCCTCTCTCTCTCTCCCCCTCTCTCTCTCTCTCTCCCTCCTCTCTCTCTCTCTCTCTCTCTCTCTCTCTCTCTCTCTCTCCTCTCTCTCTCTCTCTCTCTCTCTCTCTCTCTCTCTCTCTCTCTCTCTCTCTCTCTCTCTCTCCACCTAGAATGGTGGAGGGAAGGAGGATGCTCCCGGACGCAAGTTCGAATCCTCGTCACGGCCCTTGTGGATTTGTTCATGCTGTATGCTGTCTCCTCCCCGGCGAGGCAGCAGCATCTGATTTGGTGAGGGAGATGTTGAGAGACGGCAGGAAAGACGAGTGAGAAAGATGAGAGATTTAGCGAAAGAGAAATGAGGATATGAGATAAAAGGGAGAGAAAAGATGAGACGCCTATAGTAAGGGCGACAAAATGAGGTACATCTCATGCCTGCGGGCCGCTCCAAGCAACAGCCTGGTGGACCAAACTCCCAGAACCCCATCAAGCAGGTATCAACCAGGTATTCTCCAGTGAGGGAGAGAGAGAGAGAAGATACAAGGATTATATATTAACATCTTTATGGAATTCAATTAGGTCTTAGAGTGAGAATAATTCTGGCATTCAATGTCACATAGAAAATGGAGAGCGGCTCTCAGCTAGCGTCGGGTCCAGACTCATTTCTCAAGATCCCATCACTGGCCTCTACATATCCCCTCAACGCCACGCCATGTCCACATATGAAAACACAGAGTGATAAGGACCTGAAACCTGACCAATTTGTCGAGGACCTGGTTGTGAGAGGTCCGCCCCTACGCCTCGACTGGTTGTGAGAGGTCCGCCC